TGCAAACCACACGAACCGCCTGCGTAAAAGAGTCAGAGTTTGCCCTGGCAGGACAGCCCAGAAAGCCGGCATTTTTATTTTTATTTTTATTTATTTTTTTTTCTTTTTTTCTTTTTATTGAGAAAAGGAAAAAATAAAAACAAGTTTCCACCTCCTCCCAGCCTCCCATTTCCCTCCCCCTCCTCCCACCCTATGCCCCCTCCTCCCACCCTTCTCCCCCTCCCCCCACTCCTTTCCCCCTCCCTCTCCAGTCCAAAGAGCAGTCAGGGTTTTCTGCCCAGTGGAAAGTCCTAGGACCTCCCCCCTCTGTCCATATCTAGGAAGGTGAACATTTAAACTGGCTAGGCACCCACAAAGCCATCACATTACGTAGGATCAAAACCCCGTGCCATTGTCCTTTGCGTCTCATCAGCCCTCATTTTTCGCCATGTTCAGAGAGTCCAGTTTTATCCCATGCTTTTTCAGTCACAGTCCAACTGGTCTAGGTGAGCTCCCAATAGATCAGCTCCACTGTCTCAGTGGGTGGGTGCATCCCTCGTGGTCCCGACTTCTTTGCTCATGTTCTCCCTCCTTCTGCTCCTCATTGGGACCTTGGGAGCTCAGTCCAGTGCTCCAGTGTGGGTCTCTGTCTCTATCTCCATCCATCACCAGATGAAGGTTCTATGATGATATGCAAGATATTCGTCAGTATTGCTCTAGGATAGGGTCATTTCAGGTTCCCTATCCTCAACTGCCCAAGGAACTAACTGGGGACCTCGGCTTGGGCACCTGGGAGCCCCTCTAGAGTCAGGTCTCTTGCCAACCCTAAAGTGGCTCCTTTAACTAAGAATTGTGGTTCCGTGCTCCCCTGTCCAACCTTCCTTTATCCCAATCCTCCTGTTTTCCCAAGGCCTGACCTCCTTCCCTTCTAACTTTTCTCTCCCCATCTCCCCTTACCCCCATCCCACCCCACCCCCAAGATCCCAATTTTTTCCCCGGCAATTTTGTCTACTTCCCTTAGCCAAGAGGATAACTATATGTTTTTCCTTGGGTTCCCCTTCTTACTTAGCTTCTTTAGATTCACCTATTGTAGACTCCGTGACCCTTATTTATGGCTAGAAACCAATTATGAGTGAGTATATCCCATGTTCATCTTTTTGGGTCTGGGATACCTCACTCAGGATAGTGTTTTCTATTTCCATCCATTTGCATGCAAAATTAGAGAAGTCATTGTTTTTTACCGCAGCATAGTACTCTAATGTGTAGATATTCCATACTTTCTTCATCCATTCTTCCATTGAAGGGCATCTAGGTTGTTTCCAGGTTCTGGCTATTACAAATAATACTGCTATGAACATAGTTGAACAAATGCTTTTGTCATATGATAGGGCATCTCTTGGGTATATTCCCAAGAGTGGTATTGCTGGGTCCAGGGGTAGGTTGATCCCGAATTTCCTGAGAAACCGAAACACTGACTTCCATAGTGGTTGCACAAGATTGCATTCCCCGCATTTTTAAATGGCGCAGCTTTTTTCCTGCTATGGCTGAAAACTGAAAAGCATGCGTTCAGCTTTTCGTCAACACCATTTAAGTGTTTCGTGGCAGGACCTCTTAAGAGCTGCAGGGTTTTGCAGCTGAAGCTGAGTCAGGAAGCCTCTCTTAGATGAGGCGCTTGCTTGCCTCTAGCAAGCAGAGCAGACCCGAGAACACAGCGAGTCTAGTTGCCATCAAACAAATCGTAGCACTTTACTCCAAATGCTCTATTCAAAAGCTCTGTCTCCCTCAGGAGCCAGAAAGAGATCGCAATGGCGGCACAGCCCCAGGAAGTCGCACTTTAAAATGACACAGCGTTTTTTCTGCTACTGTTGCCGAATCAGGAAATCTCTCTACAGCATGCCACCAACGAACAGCAAAAATCTGTGTTAAACTCTCTCTCCCTTATTTGTAAGCCTTCTGAGGTTTTTTAAGTGGGTTTAGTCCATCACATCGGGCGCCAATCTGTAACGGCGTAAACAAATGCAGACAGATTGTAAAAAAATATATATCTATAGCTTTAATGTAGAAATAGACTTACAGAACCACCGTTCCAGAGGAGACCAGGAAAGCAGAAGCAATGGCTGGGAGCATGCTCACCAAATTTATAGGCAGACATTAGCCCGAGGCGAACACGCCCCCCAAGGGGCGGGACCTATCCCTACATATAGAGGAAACATAGAAATATCTGGAAGAAGGAAAAATAAAATCAATGCAGAAAATGATTAAACAAAACACAAATTTCATTTTCCTCTTAATATCTCTCAGTTCTGTGTGATGTTTTAAGCAGGAAGCATAGTGATGTGATGTGGTCCTCTATAGACATAGAGTAAATGTATTGTAGATTTTGTTCTTACAAGGGGTGATTGTGAAGGAGCTATAATTACAATAATATCAAATAGGGTTAGACTCGCAGGCAATCACAATGTTTGAGTTCCACTCTCTAGCTCTTATCAGGGAGATCTTGGATAGCTGCTGTAACATACTTACTCCAAAGTGCTTTGGTCTTTCTATCCAGCTGAGATGAGAAGGCATTTATGCACACAGGATCATGTTTAACCTCAGGATTGCTAATGAACAGAAGATGAGGTATTGTTATTATATTGAATGGATAAGGATGGGGGAAGGGATCTAACTCACCCTTTTGTCCCAATGTTCTGTCCGGTCTGGCAGACATCACAGCACACTGGGTTCTTCCATACAAACTCCTGCTTCTGGGTTGCAGATATTTCCCTTTATGTTTACACTAGAAGGTAGCAGAAGGGAAAAGAAAACTCATGAAATAGAGGAAACCAGGATGAGGAAGCACATAAATCCCAGGGGATGGAATGATGGTGCCTTGTCTGTGCAGACGACATCAATGGAAGGTACACAATGATGTTTTTCCTCCTCCCAGGTCATCTCACCACCCTGGGCATATACAGTGATAACTGTGACTGCAGACACATACTGGGAATGTGAGCTTGTGCATTTCCCATTCCCATGGCAAGAACTCCCCTTCTCTGTGTGCACTCAGGCCCCTACTTTCATGCCACAGCCTTCCATGGGCAGCACAAAGGGGGCAAGGGAAATCGGCCAACCACAAAAATACACAGGTTTTGTTTCCTCTCCATTCAGGCCCTGAAAATGATTCTTTGAGGTAGGCATCATTACTTCCTTTCCATACAGGGGCTCAGAGAGTACAATGCGTAGACCCAGGAAATTCTCCAGAGGCACCAGATGAACACAGATGCCATCTTAAAAGGATTCCTCTAGCCATACTGGGACAAAGGGAGCATGGAAATAGAGAACAGCAATAGAGGAAAACAGTTTGGGAAAATGGGTGTTGAGCCATACTGATATTGGTCAGCACATGAGTAAAGAACTATGGAGATAAGTAAGCAGTATACTACACACCAGGTCATCATTGAAGAGGACCAGGAGAATTATAACACATAGCCTATCACAGCAGTAAGTGATTAACTAACTTTCACACATATATATCCAGGGACATATTTGCACAAGCATGAGTATATACACAACACACACTAACAAATGTCAATGTAAACATACAGCTCTCACCTCGAAGGAAGAAGAGAGTTCATTCTGGAGTCAAATATATGTGAGTAAACATGAGTGAGACAGGTTTATGTTAGTACAAATTGCATGTTACAATGTGGAAACAGTTTCATGAAGTTTTTATAATCACAGAATGAAGAAACTATAGACTCTCCTTAAGTACATGGGTGATAATATTAAGTAGACTGTTATGGTAAAGCAGAGAAAGCTCAGCTACAGGCACTAGCTGCTATGTGATGAAAAGCAGTCCTTTGACTGGTAGAAAATTAAAGCTTTGTTAAGGAGACATATTCTGATATTTTAAATGTCAGGTCCAACGTCATCTGTTAGTGACAAGCTGTTAAGTAAGTCCAGCACAGGGGGCCCAAGGAGTGGCTACTCATGGGCTCAAGAGAACACAAAGGAAATTGTAATTAGGCCCTGGGACTGCGACTTCCACCATCTCCATATCACTGCAGGTCTAAGAGTCAATCAACCAGGCTTTGCAGACCAGCCTCTGCCAAGGAATTCCTGTACACACACACACACACACACACACACACACACACACACACACACACACACACGACACCTCTCATTCTCACTCTCCTAGCTCCCTGGTGTTTACTGAGAGCTCAAGGGGTACAACCACGTTAAAACAGATTCATCTCTGACCACACACAGGATAGTGAGAGCTACAAAATTATGTATGTCTTTTGCGTGTGATATCTGTGACGATGGCCATGGACTTGTCTCTGGGACATTTCTCTCATTTGTTTCTGACTGTCAATAATAACCTGTAAATGCTGATAAGGAAAGGGGGAGAAACTGCATTACACATCAAATGAAGTTCCCATCACGGAATAATCCATGCTTTCAACAAAAAAGATTATATCAGACTTAAGAGTTCCATATGTCTTCCCAGGGCATATGCCTTTGAGGTTAGGTTATGCAGGGCCTCTCATTTAATAAATTATTTTCCTATGATTGTGGTCACATTGAGAAAACTACTTTGCATTCATCTGCAATTATTAACCGGCTTTTATACTTTCTTGTAATTCTCCTTCAATCCATATTTTGCTGTGTGACTGAAATATAAGTATGAAAGATTAGCATTCTCCTAATGAATTTTACACATAACATTACTGCATGTTTTAAAATTGTTTTATTCCACTTTAGTTTTAGTTCTTTCTTAAACGTTAAGATTATAACTCTAGATTTCTAATAATTCGTTCCTGGATGGTATGTGTTTACTTCTTTTTAAGTGTTCAAGTTAACATTTTAATGCCTTTGTTTCAGATATATGTCTTGAAAAAAGCAATCATTTTAGAGTCTATTTCAGTCAGCAATAAGAACATCGGTTATTTTTGGCTTTTGTTTTGTGTTTGGTAAGTTATGTCCATTTACATTTTTTACATTTATTTGTCTGCCTATTTTGTGTGTCTGGCAAGGCCATACATGATCTACAGTGTACTTGTAGAGGTCAGAGGACAACTTGCAGGAGTCATTTCTCTGCTTCCACAATGTGGATCCTGGGGATCCAACTGAAGTCATCAGAAGCAGTACTCGGGCTTCTATTACACTTTAATACGATCTACATATAAGGTGAGTCATACAGTATACCTTTTTGTCCAACATATTTACTTGTAAACATTCATTGCAATGAGTCATTGAACTTGTTCATGGCCTCTAGTTTCTGGTACACTATCATCATGGGACCCTCAACAAAACTCCTCTAGGATATCCTGCAGTCACCCCAAGTAACAGAGATTCTGCAGGTATTGTTCCGCAGGACCAGTCAATTCCAGCATTCCAGTAGGCCTTAGATGGTGTAGATGTTAGGATGGGCCAAGCCAAGAACCCCAATATGGACCTGGGTGGTAGCTGAGCTGATCAGCTGCCTGCCTAAGGATAGGGCCGAAGCCAGCTCACCTATGCCCATGGCACCAGGCCCAGTTTTCCAATGCCCATGGTGAGGTGTGGGACTAGCTCTCCTGTGAAAGTCAGGGCCAGCTCTTGACACAATGTCCACCAAAGCGCAGAACCAGCTCACTCTGGCCCTTGGATATCATCATTCATGGCTCTTAAGGCCCCCTGTAGTAACATGGGCCACAAACATCAGCACATACCCTAGCTCTGGTAGGACCATAGACCCAACATGATCCTGGCAGCAACTCGTCCTTGATGTCACCATTTCCCGGGTGGTTTCACAGACCACACAGATCAGGATGGCACCAGCTGCAGCAAAGCCTTTGGACACCAACGTGGCCTCAGGTGGTGGCCCACACCTCAGGCATCCGCATGGCCTTCATTGGTAACAGGAGTCAGGAAGACAAAGACCCTGGCTACTGCTGGGTCACAGATATGGCCCTGGTCAGCAGCTCAGGCATGGACAACACCATGGCCCAGGTTGGCAGCTCGGGTCTCTCAGATCATTGTCACTCCAATGGCAACACAGCGCTCAGATCCCAACAAGGCCAGAGGACACAGCCCAGACTCCAGGCTCCTGTGTGACCTTTGGTGGCAGCGTGGACCATGGATGTTAACATAGACCCAAGCTGCAATAAGACCAGAGACCCAGAAATGACCTTTGGTAGCAACCTCGGTCCTGATGACCCCATGACCATGAATGACAAGAAGACCACCCCCTCAGCCTGTTCCTTACCACCTTCTATTCCCCCTCTTTTCACAGCACATGAACCATCCCGCTACTCTTTCTCTCCTGTTTCTCCACCACACATTTTGCTCATTGTAATGGAAGCCTTGTAGCTCTGGGCAGGCCTCTGGTTGTCTACCAGCCAGACCAGGCTTTGAGGACTCTGGCTGGTCTGTGATTGGCTAGCACCTTCTGGACCTGGATGCCATAAGGCAGAGTGGAGATGTCTTTCTGCCAGACAATGAGTACAATTAAAAACATATATGTGTAGTGTAAACATTTCAGCTCAAATGTAAAGGGATCCTGGCCGTCCAGATGCAAGGAATACCACAAAGTCAGTATAAGCTTAGCAGCTTACAGATCTGCTTCAGGGAAAGCTTTCCTCAAAGTAACAGCTCTGCTCCATCAGGAAAGTTGTTACAGCTTTGGTCAAATGACAATTAACATATCAAGAAACTGAGAAATATTTTTCCAAGTTATTGTCCTATTTCCCATGGCTACCAGCAGTCAGTATGATAGTTTCATCCCCCACAACCTTGCCAGGTCTTCATATTATTATTTCTGAATATTTTGTGGGGGTGTCAAGAGTCCCCTAGAGTCACCTGTCTCTCTTCCCTAAGTGTTAAGGATGTTGATGCTGTATGTTCCGCTTAGTGGAGCATCTACTCACCCTTCTGGACAACTTTTATTTCATGAATTGTGTATTTTCTTAGTGACTCTTTTTTAGGCTTTCTGTATTCTGGAAACAATAAGGCTGTCATCTAATACACAATTTCCTACATTCATTTTTTCCCAGGCAGGGAAAATATCTTTTATATCACAGTGTACATTTTTCACTTTATGGAAGTCCTAACAGTCCAGTTCTTCTTTTCATAAAAGGGGTTTGTTATATCTATGAATTTTGTCTATAATTCTTTCAATTGCTTTCTGTTACAAGATTCATGCTTAGGTTGAATTTTGGATTAATTACCTTTTAGATTTGCTTTCACTATTTACTGGGTATCTGCCTATATGTTTGTGTGTGCCATATGCACATTTGAATGCAGATGCTTGCTGAGACCAGAAAAGACTGTCAGCTCCCCTGGATCTGGAGTTATAGGTATCTCTGGGCCACCATATGGGTACTGTAAGCTGAAGTCAGGTCCTCTGCAATAGCCAAAGGCACTCTTAACCTCGGAGATGTCTCTCTAGTCCTATGTAGATCATTTGTTAATTTTGGTTGACTTTTGTATCCAGTGATAAACAACTTGTCTATATTTATATTTGTCCATGAGGATGCCCACGTGTCCCATAATAAGACAGAAAAACAGGGCATTGAAGGGGATATGAGAGGGGAATACACAGCCCCTCACCCTGTGATCATTTTTTTTTTTTTTTTGGATTTTCGAGACAGGGTTTCTTCATAGCTTTTTAGTTCCTGTTCTGGAACTAGCTCTTGTAGACCAGGCTGGCTTCGAACTCACAGAGATCTGCCAGCCTCTGCCTCCCAAGTGTTGGGATTAAAGGCGTGAGCCAACACTGCCCGGCCCTGTGATCATTTTTACATTTTTCTAACTGACATTCAAGAAGCCTCCACCCAACTGATAGAGTCGAAATTACCCACAGATATAATGCAAGTAGTACTAAAGACATCCCAAATAGTGTTTAAAAATTACAGCAAATAAACTAGGGTCCGAGGATAGGGTTCATTCTTTAATATCACTGGATGTCTTCCAGAGGATCCAGGGTTGATACCCAGCACCTACCTGATGATTCACAACTGTCTGTACTCCAGTTCTGAGAGATCTCAAACTCTGGTGTCCTCTGTGAGCAATAGGTATTCACTCAGATGGTGCACAGACTTCCTTGTGAAAAACATTAAAAAAATTAATTAATTATGCTTACTTAGGACCAGAATGTTTGCAGAATCACATATTCACCTTACAATTTAATTTACTAATTTTTTTTAAAAAGGGATAAGAACATTTAAAAGCATTATTATTTTTTACTTTTAATAACCTATTGTATATTTTCTTCAAGTGGAAAAACAGAACCATTTCAAAGACTCAAAGCATGTAATTTTCAAACAATGTAATAATGTAACAATGTAACTCTGAGAACCATAAAAATCTTCACATTTCTCACTCTCCTGCCCTCCTCACACACCCTAATCTCAAGTCTCTCTAGTCCTCACTCAGGCCTTCATTCCTGAGCCATCCCTATACTATGTGAGCTTCTTCCATAGCATGAATAAGCTCACAAGTTTGCTTCATTCTGGCTTTTCCTGAAATTCTTTTCTGCAGCCTAATCATAGATCCAGCTTTACCAAGGTCATGGTCATCAAAGGAACAGGGTTATCCTTAGGCAGCTGATCACGATGCTGGGCTGTACCTCCTATAACCACCAACAGTCCCAGAAAAACTCGGTGACCAGCATATGCCTGCTTCACTGAAGTGTCTTTGTGTCTTTGCTAAAGGTGTCCCCTCACACGTGTGTGACTCTTCTGTCCCCTTCATATTCTTTTCTGTCTTATTGTAATTACCAATGAGGCACACTGTCTTCATTTCTCTATGTTTATAAGGAGTTTGGGAGTCAGGTGTTCATCCTCCAAGTTTGTTCCTTTTCAAGGTTGTCAATGTCAGGTCTCTTCTATGAGAAGAACAACAAGACTTTAGAGAGTACACACAGAAGGTTGACAAGAAGCTGACATGAGCCCTTGTTTCCAGTATGTGAGTCATCAGTGCCACCAGTGTGTGAGTGTGTGTGTGTTTGTGTGTGTGTGTGTGTGTGTGTGTGTGTGTGTGTGTGTGTGTGTGTGTGTCTGTATAGGAAGGGTCTGTGAGATCAACAAAGAAGAGGAAGATGTCACTGCACATCTTTGACTTGACTGGATGCAGATAGACTACTCCATCCCTATATTCACTACAGTAGAGTGCATGAGCATTCTCATCTGCCTTCCTCCTCTCTCCATGAGATTTCTCTCCTCCTTCTCTGCCTTCTAGTAGAGCAGGGGAGAAAACAGTGAACTTTCCATGCAGAACCAACTCCTGGAGAAGAACCAAGTGTGGTGTGGTCTGGTCAGCCTGTTACCTGAGCAAGAGTGACAAGATCATGTGGGACTCACCAGGTCAGTCATTTCCTTTTCTCTTCCCATCCGTGTGACCAGTAGCTGGTCTGTGATGCCTTGTAGGAACACATCCTGTTGAGCAGGTAGCAGCATAGTGCAGCACACTGTAGAACAATGACATTCATAGACTCCCCAGATGACAGAAGTCTGCATGGGTTCCTTTAAATGACCCGGACTGAAATGGACGCCATCCCCATCAGACCATTTCCCCGAAAGGGCCATGCATTACTGCATCACATTTGCAGGGAGTGCTTATTAAAATGGTAGATATCTGTGTCCACGACAGACACTAAATCATGCTTATTAAAATGTTAGATATCTGGGTCCACAACAGACACTGAATCAATACCTGAGAAGTGGGGTGTGGCATAGCCACTTCTTTCTGATGGCTGTCCAGACTGAGAAGCTTCTGTAAAGCAAAGGACACTGTCGCTAAGACACAAAGGCAACCCACTAACTGGGAGAAGATCTTCACCAACCCCGCAACTGACAAAGGTCTGATCTCCAAAATATATAAAGATCTCAAGAAACTAGACCGTAAAAGGCTAACCAACCCAATTATAAAATGGGGCATTGAGCTGAACAGAGAATTCTCAACAGAAGAACTTCAAATGGCCAAAAGACACTTAAGGTCATGCTCAACTTCCTTAGTGATCAGGGAAATGCAAATCAAGACAACTTTAAGATACCATCTTACACCTGTCAGAATGGGTAAAATAAAAAACACCAATGATAGCCTTTGTTGGAGAGGTTGTGGAGAAAGGGGTACACTCATCCATTGCTGGTGGGAATGCAAACTTGTGCAACCACTTTGGAAAGCAGTATGGTGGTTTCTCAGGAAATTCGGGATCAACTTACCCCTGGACCCAGCAATACCACTCTTGGGAATATACCCAAGAGAGGCCTTATCATACAACAAAAGCATATGCTCTACGATGTTCATAGCAGCATTGTTTGTGATAGCCAGAACCTGGAAACAACCTAGATGCCC